ATATTCCAATTTTACACATTTGTGAATTATCTATTTTCCTTTTGTTCAACAATTTCTTTAGAAAATTTTAGAGCTATAAGCTAAGAAGTTCTGTTTTGGGACAGAGATGATGGCCTTCGAACAAAACTTCCAAGAATCATTGCTGCAGTTTGAATCTGTAGAAGATCTTTCTCTTAAGAAATCAGATTCTGCTCAAACAACAGCATCTGACAACATGAATGGATGTTTTGATTGCAACATTTGTTTAGACTCAGCACATGACCCTGTGGTCACCCTCTGTGGTCACCTTTACTGCTGGCCTTGCATGTACAAATGGCTACATGTCCAAAGCTCCTCCCCTGAATCTGAAGAGCAGCCAAATTGCCCTGTCTGTAAAGCTAACATCTCCCCCTCCTCATTGGTCCCCCTGTATGGGCGGGGTACATCCTCATCTGAATCTGAAGCCAAAAGGACCCAACTGGATCTGGTCATCCCCCGTAGACCGCCAGCTGTTGGGGTGAACACATCGCTAACTGCTGCAACATCAATGGCTCCCCATCCAATTCAACAACTTCCCAATCCTTTTCGGCCACAGCCGCAGGCATTTTATCAGCAGCAATACTTCCCTCACCCTTTTGGCAATTATGCTCCTATGTCATCATCTAACTTTGGGAGCACTGCGATGACTAGTTTATTCAGTCCAACCGTTGGGATGGTTGGAGAGATGGTCTTTGCAAGGATGTTTGGGAGCTCAGACACCAGTTTATTTGCTCATCCTCACTTGAATTCTTACCCTCTCATCAGAAGTGGCAGCCCTAGGCTGAGAAGGCAGGAAATGCAGGTGGACAAGTCTCTTAACAGACTATCCATCTTTTTTCTCTGTTGCTTTGTTTTGTGCCTTCTCTTGTTTTGAGAGTTTCGTACCTCCTCGAATAATTGTGCACATCTACAATGCTGAATTTATTCAGCAAGAGAGAGATCATAGATCAGATAAATGCACAGCTTTTTAGAGGGTTTGCAGAGAAACTCTCTTTGAGATAATTTTTTTCTCCTGTACATTCACCTTGAACAAATGTGGCATTGGTCCTCTTTCATTTGCTGTTTTGGTGAGCGAACCATTACCCGGTAATATATGGCCTGTGAAGTCAAGCTCAATGTACTAGAACGAGGCTGTTCTTATAGCCATGATTTAAAGGTAATTCATTTAGTTTGGTGGTATTTTATATTGGATTATATTTTCTATTTGTTTATGCACTTTCTGCACTGCCCTCTTCATTTTTCCCCTTGGATTACACTTTGTAGTGGGTGAGGATCCTTTGCGGTTGAATAAAACGTTGTCATTTCGACATTGTTTTGTTAAATAGAACTATGTCATTTTGTTCAATCACACCTCTATAGTGAAAAATTATCTGCAAAGAAGCCGGACTCCACTTGTAATTTAGTATATGAGGATTATTCTTCTGGAAAATCACACGTATAACGATCCTATATCCATATCTTCATGCGACTACGAACCTTGTTCCTTCGGTGTCTCTTTTTCTTATTTGTGTCACTCCTTGGTGCAAACCTACCGTAGGCCCTAGGGGGAAGTTAAATTGCGAAAGGGAATTCTTGAATTTTTAAGATCAGAGGGTCTAGAACAACATGTTCGGTTGATCTCAAATAGCAAACCGAATCGAGGTCGGTGAAAAAATATAAGATAAGCAACATATCTTTCTTGTTTGAAATCTGCACTCCCTTTCTCCTTCTAATTGGAGTTTTCTTTGCTTTGTCGTTGTCCTGCCCTGTTTCCCTCTCCTTTGCATTTCATTTCCTACTCTTTTTTTCCCCTTCTTTGCTAGTAAAGAATTATGGATTCCCATTTCACCCTCTTTTTGTTGTCTAGAGTCCATAATAATTGCAATCGAGTCAATTCAATTCAGAGGACATGAGCATTTCGAAATAAGACTTCAATGTTGAAAAAGGGTACGAGATGAATGACCTATATTTGATCTCCTCAAATCATTTAACTATTGTATTGTCTCGAGTAAGTTAACCATAGTGTTGCGTTTGTGTATATATATATATAAAATAAAGTAGTTTAGAATTCAAATTTTAAAAATAAATAAAATAATTTTTATTTTTTGCGGTTAAGATCGCTTTGAATTTTATTTTAAAGTTAATCTAACGGCTAATATTAATACCTTAAATTTAATAGAAAAAATAGGATCATAAGAGTGTGTTTGAAATGATTATTTAAAAGTACTTTTATGAATTATTTCTTATAAGTACTTTAAATAAAAGTAGTGTTTGAAATCGCTCCACCACTACCTTTACCCCCACCGTCGCCACTGCCGTTGTCGCCACCGCCATTACCACCACTATCTCCGCTGCCACCGTCATTATCATTACCGCTGTTGCTGTCGCTGCCGCTGCCACCGCCACCACCACTGCCCCCGCGATCATTGTCTCTTACCACAATTATCACTGTCTCCGACCACCACCATTGTTACCCATCATTTCTCACTCTCATTACAACTAATGTTTAAATTTATTTATCTCTTCTCTATGTTTATTATTTGATTTTGGATATGAATATTAATATGTTTATTATTTACTATTTTTTATTATTTTGTGTCTTAAGGCACAGTCAATAACTAGTATATATATAGGGTGTGTTTATCTACTGAGCCACTCTATTCTTCTTATTTTCTATTATTTATTTATTTCTCCTCCACGTTCATAAGGAAAAAAAAAAAGGAGATCCTTTTCGGTGCTTTATGTCCTATTTGATTATGGTAGTTTGATTTGTATATGGACTTATGGAGCTCAAGCTACCATCCAATGGTAGATCTAAGTTGTGGATGGAGAGAGTTCCCTCAAAGGTTTGCAAAAATTCCATTTATTACATTATTATTACATATTTATATTCTCATCTTAAATATATTCGCCCTCCTGAGAGTGCATTCCTACAAAAATTAGTGTCATTGTAACTAATTCATAGGGTGTTAATCGAACCATATTGTATTTTTGTATATTCATTAACTGAAACTAAGATTTTTTTTTTTTTCCTTCAACCAAATCCATCTTTTGTTCTCTCTCTCTCACCCACGGCCACATTCTTTTGCTTCCCTCCCGAAGAAACTCAAAGATCTTTTGCCTCCTCTGCGCATCATAAGAAGGTCCCACCATCATTCTTTTTCGTTTCCCACTACTTTAAATAATAATTATGCCATGAATATCTTCGCGCACACATTCAACTTTGTGACCACCATTATGTTTTGTTTCAATCCTTTTTTTGCCAACTTGCACGAATTCTCGGCTGCGACGTTGATTTAATCAGCAGCAGGGGAGTCGAATTCTATTGGCTACTGTATTTTGTGTGATCCATGAAACCGTTCTGTTCTAACCCATATACATGACACGAGTATAAACCATGAAAAATCCACCTACCTACATGTTTAAAACATACGAGTAGTCTCTTTGTTAATTGGTAATAAATGGGTTGTCATAGTGTTAGAGATTTTAATACAATTACCTTCGATATGATACAAATCCAGCATAACATATAACTTGACTTTTACCCTATTCTTTCAATCATAATTGATAGGGTCTCGAAAATTACAGCCTAAGCCCAACTTAAGGGAGGTTATTGAGTCTGGTGTGTGAGTTGGTTTGGAAAGTTAGATTATCTATTAAAAGAGAAAACACAGAAGGTAAGTGGTTCGTCTTGGCTGATAGACCAAGGTTACGTCCACTGTAATGCAGTCTCTTGCTCTTTGATGTTATATATTGAACCTCCGATGTATATAGCCGGGATATAGGCGTTGGGTCTTTACAGGGATTGGTGTTTTGCTTACAGAGTATACAAGGTTGAGAAATGTTCTTTGGGAGCCTCATTTTCCTGTAGGGCACTGTTCTATATATATATATAGGTCGTCTCTCTTATGGTTCTTGGCAGTTTCTTCTACTTTTTTATTGATTCTGTGGAGACCTCCTGTCTTTGTTCTGCAAAAACCTTTTTTAGTCGGCGCCACTGTGCTCACTATCTCTGGGGCGTTATGCTCCACCGTCTTCTGTGTGTGAGAGGGTGTAGCTATCACAGGTTTCAGAGATAATCTCCTTATCCTCTGGACGTGTGGCACGATGAGATGACTCCGAGGCAAAGATCAAATTCCTCCTTCTTGGATTGTCCTCTAGCTAGCACATAATTGGGTCGGGGTTGAACCACTACCCCTCGGGTGCCCATTGGGCCTTGCCCTTTTAGCTCTTTGTCATGAGTTAATCAAGGACGCTTTTTTTTTTGGACCAATGAGTTATGCCTTCAGTTCCTCGTGGTGTTTTGGGCTTCGGACTCATGGCGGGCCATGTCCAAAATTTTACCCTTATCGATAACTATTGTCTAGGAAAGGTTTACGGTAACGAAAAAATTGTCGGTTGTAATTTTTATGATAAATTTACACCTTTAAAAAGATAAAATTGTTCAAAGAAAAATCATCATCGATCAAAGGCACTCAAGATTGACTATGTTCTTTCGGTGTCGATCTCAACCCTCCATAATCAATCATCCCTTTTAAAAATGATAACGTGGAATTTTTGGTTCATTATATATGTTAATGTAGAACTGTGAATTCATTTGTCATCGGCCTAAGTATTCGAAACTTCCTCCGTTGTACCATTTGTCAATTCTATATAACAGATGGAGAATCACCGCCAAGTACTTAAAAAAACAGATAGCACCGAGTATCACATGCTCTTGCATTCTACTTGTCCCCCCAAACTACCTCACAACCGTACACACTATACAGTACTTCTTTACCTTAATGGACGTGAAAGAACGAGTTTTTTTTTTTTTATAAAACTGTTTGGATTAATATTTATAATCACCGACAACCGCGTAACAGAAAGATTGTGCAGTCTTTAAATAGGGCACTCCCTCCCTAGCTCCATGAACTTCAGGAAACAAAGAGCTTCTTTTAGCAGTTTTATATAAAATGTCGAGTATGTTTAATTCTTTCTTTTTTTGGCCGTTTTTCTTGTTCATGGCTATGGTTTTTGAGGGGGTTCACTGTCAATGGCTGAATAGTCATGCAACTTTCTATGGAGCCAACCAGAACCCCAGCACCCTTGGTAAGATACATTCGGATCTAAATTAATTACTGCTAATAGAGATGATGCCTAAGGTGGGGTGATTGTAGGCATTGGTGCAACGGTAAAGATGTTCAACAGTGTAACATGGGTTTCATAGGCTTGAGTCATCAAAATTGTCTCTCTGTATGTTGAGGAAAAAAAAGTTATACATGTTGAATCCTCTCGAGATATAACAGTTAATAGGAGTTTTATGCACCGGACTCACATGCATGAGGTGGAATAAGTTTCGCTAAAATATCAATATGAATTTACAAAGGGTGTGATTTTTTGTGTGTCAATGTGTGTTAAAACAGTGGCTCAGTGTACGATGCTCTTATCACTACAGTGTTTGGGGAGAATCATGAATTTAGTGTCACATCTTATGTAAAAAGATTGCTATTGAGGCTCGAAGGCACTAAGGTCAGAATGGAACATATTTAACCTAGTTCAAAGCAACCGTTTCTTATGTGTCAACATGTGTATGCTTTGTATGTGTGTGTGTGTGTGAGAGAGAGAGAGAGAAGGGGGGGGGGGGCTATAAACATAAGCTAGCCGTGTTTAATGAAAAAGACTTAAAAAACCTATTATTTTCTTCAAAGCTAAAATTTTTGTAATTCTTACCTTTTGCATAGTAACATTCTTTGTGTTTCTCAGGAGGAGCATGTGGTTATGACAACACCTTCCATGCTGGTTTTGGGGTGAACACAGCAGCTGTAAGTGGTGCACTCTTTAGAGGTGGTGAAGCATGTGGGGCTTGCTACCAAGTAATGTGCAACTATAGGCTTGATCCAAAGTGGTGTCTCCGAGGAGCGGTAGTCACCGTCACCGCCACCAACTTCTGCCCTCCGAACAACCACGGAGGGTGGTGTGATCCGCCTCGCCAGCACTTCGACATGTCAATGCCATCTTTCCTCCGCATTGCTCGACAAGGCAACGAGGGCATAGTCCCTGTACTTTATACAAGGTAAAACAACATAAGGGCGAGAAATATACAAAAACAAAGTCTATTCCTCTCATACAATTAACATTGTCTCCACAATGTAAGAAGTTATTAACTTGAGATCTCAAGTACGATTATGACAAAAGAGTCCAATTTATATCATGTGTGTGATAAAAGAACGAATCTACGTACCCGAAATTCACATTGTAAATTTAGTTTAAAGGGCATCGCGGTAATACAATTCTCAATTGTCAAATATAAGGTTTAGCATAAGAAAAATTATTACAAAACCCGTAAGGATTGATTCAGGGATCACTCAAGATACTAGGGATAACCCTGTTCGTTTTGAGTTTGATTTCATCTCGGTTATTGGTTACATAGAATATGAGTTTAATTAATTGATGTATATAATTTATAGGTGATTGCATGCAGCCTATACAGTGAATGATTTGGACAACTCCTCCATAATTTTACTCCACATAAAAGTTCAAAAACAAGAAGATTAATCAAGTGGGGGGATCATATAAACTATGTCATAATGATTAAATTTTACATTCTTTGGACATTCAGGGTGTCATGCAAAAGGAGAGGGGGTGTTCGGTTCACCTTGAGGGGACAATCAAACTTCAACATGGTGATGATCTCTAACGTTGGAGGGAGTGGTGACATTAGGGCTACATGGATCAGGGGCTCCAAAACAACAACATGGTTGCCTATGCACAGGAACTGGGGTGCAAATTGGCAGACCAGCGTCGACGTTCGGAGCCAAACACTGTCTTTCAAGCTCATATTGGTTGATGGGAATACACTTGAATTCTTCAATGTTATTCCTTCTTCCTGGAGATTTGGACAGACTTTCACTTCTCAGAATCAGTTTGCATAGCAACATATGGGTTGAGTATGTGTGTGTCTATACACACACTCAAGCGAGACACACGCGCACGCACTAATATGCAGGTCTATGAACAAGCATTTTTTGATGGTTCAAGGACATAAAATGTGTTTGTATTTAGAGAGATGATACATTTTTTTTTT